CAGAGAGTGGAAGTGGGTGTCACTAAAGGTACGACTCATGCGAAAATCGACCACATTTTGACCAACCGATGATAGTGCTTACTGAACATCTTAGTGGTACCACTTGCAGGTTCAGATTGCCGACTCCTTCTCAAGCAAGTGTGATTTAGCCGAAAGCTGGAAGAGAAGATGTGTCACTAGTTGGAAGAAGGAGAGAAATCGTGTACTCAACTTGGAGGATCCTGTCTACTTGTACTGGCCCATCGAGAAGGACCCAGCGAAAAATTGCGACCTGCTTCTCAGAGAATTGAGAAGAAAAACAAAGAAAATGATTGTCTGGGCCGCTTTCGTGCTCCTAGAGGAAGCCACAGCACAGCTGAAGAACCCAAAGCTTCAATGCCCACCTGTTCGATTCAACCATTCTCCCTGCGTATTACGCAGCAGAGACGTAGCCTGCTAATGGTTCATCAAAGCCTCGAAAAACCGAGAGAGCGCTGGAGCCACGTCTTCTGAAGTGCAACCAAAGCACTCAACATCTGTCGTACTTTGCAACAGATTACTGGAATAAGTTCATAAGTATAAATCAAATATACTTTATTCTTCAAGCCTGAAATATATAGATAATATTTTTATCATTCATAACTAAGATGAATATTGAAGTCAACAATTACACAGGAGCCCTATGATAGTATTAGATTTGTAATTGTTGAGTTCTGAAATAATCTCCCAGATCTTCTATCAAAAATCATTGCTGAATAGCATTGGAGTTGCTTTGATTCGTAGAGAACTTCTAAGAATATATAAAATATGTTTAAAATTTGATAGCTCAACTTTTTCTCCTTGGTCGACTACTGTTGTTGATAAAACAAAGTTCTGCCTTAATTTATACACAATTTATTTTAAATGCACCTATCAATGCCTTGCGTTCAATAAGCGTCGCTTTAAAATATTAAGAAATGTTTTAAAAATATCGGACCATTTGTCGAATACATTCTTGGGCATCTAGTTGATCTTCACAAGAGATATGATTAAAATCCATACCACTGCGATCTATTTGTCGCCCGGTCTGCCCATAATAGTAAAAATAATGCACCACTGGCTTATCCGCTAT